TACCTGGAGCCGCCTGATCTTGGACGCCCCAAGAATGATGACTACGAAAAGAGCTGAAGTCCTCCTAAGGCAATGGGAACTATTTCACTGGGAGTACAGCATGCGCATGGCCTTGGCGAGGAAGGGGCTTCTGGCGCACGTTCAAGTAGTCAAGCCCGAGAGCGAGATAACCGAGGCGTGGCTTGTGAACGACGCGAAAGCGCTCGGCATAATTGCTCAAGGCGTGAAACTCCAGCACCAGACGAAGATTCGGAGCGCCGCGCGTGGCATGGATGACTGGGGAACGCTTAGAGAATTCTACAACCGGACGACGCTGCACAATCGTGTTACGATGACACGTCGCCTTCATGAGCTCAATATGGGGAGTGGAACGCCTATGGCCAAGAATCTGGACGCGTTCGACGTGTTGATTGTTGGTCTTCAGCCGCTTGGAGAGCCAAAGGCACGGCAGCTCGTGATACTGCTTAGCAGTCTTCCGGACGAGTACGAGCTTATCGCGTCCATCGTGGAGAACGCTAAAGACGTGACGCTTGTCGAGGCTAAGGAGAAGTTGCTTAAGGAGTACGAACGCCTCGAGAAGAAGGAGACTTCCGCGGAGAAGGCGTTCCAAGGGAGGCCGAGGTAACGGTAGAAAAGGAGCGCTCCAAGGCAAGTGCTTCCAATGTGACCAAGCGGGCCACATGAAGCGAGACTGCCCCGCTGGGAACGGTGGCAGCAAGGACGATGCAGTGTTTGCAGTGGGTCAGGAACGGCTGGCCGGGTGGCTGACCGACAGGGGTGCAACGTCGCACATGACCCCACACATGGAGGACCTGATCGAGTACAAGGGTCTGGACACTGGTATCCTTCAATGTCGTCGCCACGCTTCATATTATCCAAAATGAAGAGAATTCCGTATCAGCGACAATTGAAGGTAGTTGTTGAAGCCGTTAGTGAAATATTAATAGCGTTACAACTATATTGTTGAAGCCCGTAGTTAAAAATGTAACAGCGGTACGTGACGATTGCAGCCGGCAAGCAGTTGCGCGTCGAAGGAACGGGAACGGTTCAGCTGACGGGTCTGAACGGAAGACGCATTCGTATGGTCGACGTACGGTACATTCCGGGACTCGACAGACGGTTGCTGTCGGTGGGGAAGCGGGGTTCCAGCGTTAGTCACGTTGCGCTCGCTTAAAACGCGAGCGCAACGTAGAATATATCTACGCAGGGATAGTGCTCCAGTTACGACTGTTAATGCCACTCACGACAGATTGGTGTCAACTCCTGCACCTCGGGGCGCGGCTGGCGATACGGAGGATTCCATGCCTTCAGCACAGCGTGATTTTCTCCCCGCTTCTCCTTCTCGAAAGCGTAAGCATGGAGAGCACATGCCTCGCGATGAAAGTCAGAAGAATAAGCGGTCACGTCAAAGTACATCGGACAAAGATCGGAGAAAAGATAATCTCGTAGACGTTGCAAATCGTGTGCTGAGTGCAAGACAGCTGACACCAGAAGCGTTAACGGCGATGCAAAATGGCCAAGGATATTGCTTTGACCCACGCTTGGGTTTGGCTTATTTTCATTGTTGCTCCCAGCATCCTGATGCCTTTAGTACTCACACATTTCAACCGAAATCAATTCAAAGCCTTTACATTACCTGCAGCATGGCGTTGACTTGTCATTTGCTCGAACAGTATGGAAAGCACAAGGATCAACTCTTAAGTGTGTTATTTTGCTACTCCAAGGTTCACCGATATCACCATCTTGGGCATTTGAGCATTTGTACGTTGCCATGTCCGCGTCGAAACCGTTCAGGGTCTTCGATGTCCTCCTCTCACATCATCCTTTTCTCGAGAGCACTTCTTGAAGTTACGACCCAGTATTTTCACGGTTAAATGGTGCATGAGCATTGACGACACTGAAAACTGGCGATCACTTGAAAATGTAGTTTAAACGCTAATTAAAACGCATAATTCATGGCCTCCCAGCCCAAGCTAGTAGGCCTCTTGTTAATACATGACTTCCTATTAACTATATTTTGAACCTGAATTTGTTATACTTATTTCTATTAAATATAACAAATTTTGGTCATTTATTATTATAAAGATTTATCAGGTTCTGGACCTACCCCGGGCTGTAAATTGTGAACATCTTATCTGGGTTGGTTAATCCCAATAGCGTGGTAGATTGCCTTTTATTGGTTAGGGGCTTGTTGCGTAAGAGGCATATACCGAAGTGAGTAAATTCGTGCTAATTAAAACTGTCTAACATGTCTCTCTAAACACTATCTCTCTGTTGTTCCTCTTGTTGTCTTCTCGTAAGTGTGGCGTAATCACTAATGCCATGTGCCTTCATCCAATCATAGCGCTCTAACATGTAAGTACCCAATGGCGTTCCAGAAGCAGTTCCAGCCAATAGTGGAATGGTTCGGTAACCGTTCCTACGGTCACGCCTAACCGTGCTGAGCCGGTGCAACTGCAGCACTCCCACTCACCGCTACTGCACGGTAGCCTTGTTCTTAATGCCGGTTGCACCGCGCTGGAACGCGAGGGCCTTCGTCCCAAGTGCCTTCGGCAGCATGTCGGTCAGTTGGAGCTTCGTGTCGAAATAGTCCACCTGTACCGCTCCGCGTTCCACGTTCTCACGAGTGAAGTGGTGCCGGATGTCGATGTGCTGGCCCTTGCGTGGTATCCGGCGTTCCTTGCCAGTGCAATAGCACCTTGGTTATCCTCCCATATCTGCGAAGCTCCCACTTGTTCATGACCTATGTCCTTGAGCATCGTACGTGTCCACAGCACCTCTTGCGTGCACAGGCTCAAAGCTATGTACTCTGCTTCTGCCGGCGTGAGTGCAACCGTCCTTTGGAACTTCGACTTGAACAACACAGGGGCGTTCCCGATCATAACCATGACACCGGATACGGAGCGCCTGTCGTCGATGTTGGGTCCCCAGTCCGCGTCGGTGTACGCTTGAGCTAAGGCGTTCCCGGAACGGCCTTGATATACAATACCATGCTCACGCGTGGTCTTCAAGTAGCGAAGAACTCGAATTGCCGCCATCCAGTGCTGGCGCCCAGGGTCCTCGAGGAAACGGGACAGCAGTGTCACCACGTACGCAATATCCGGCCGAGTGCATGTTGTGATGTACATCAGACACCCGACCAAGGAACGGTACGGCTTCGACTGCATCTCGAGGCGTTCTACCTCTGTCGTTGGCAACATATCCTTCGAGAACTTCATGTTTGATGCGCACGGGTTCTCCACATCCTTAGAGCTCTGCTTATTGAAGCGTTCTGCAACGTCGTCGATGTATCGAGTCTGCTTGATCATAAGCGTTCCAGCTGACGTGTCGTGGTTGATCTCCATACCCAGGATGAATTTGGCCTCGCTAAGTTCTATCATCTTGAAGGCGTTCTTCAGTGCGTCCTTGACTTCACGGATCTCCTCTCGTGTCTTCGCCGCAATGATCATGCCGTCCACGTACAAGCACACGTATACGAAGCCATTCCTGGAACGCTTCACGTAGACACATTGGTCTGCACCACAACACTTGAGCCGTTCCGAATGAACACGCGATGAATTGTCTTGTTCCACGCGCTCGCAGCTTGTTTCAAACCGTAGATCGCCTTCTCCAGTTTGCACTTCATACCTTCAGCGTTCTCCAATCCGAGAGGGACGTCCATGTAGACCGCGTCCACTAGGATACTGTTCAAGATGCCGTGTCAGCTTCGAGCTGTTTCATAATGTACCCGTATGTTACACATACCGCTAGCACCACACGAATCGAATGCATGTTTTGCAACCGGAGCGTACGTCTCAAAGAAGTCTATTCCAAACTTCTGCTTGAATCCCTTCGCTACCAGGCGTGCCTTGTACCGGATGACTTGACCGCTCCCGTCGCGCTTCTTGGCGAACACCCAGCGACATCCAATCGGGCGTCCAGGCGTTCCACATGGAACGAGAGTCCACGTTCCGTTCCGAGCGTGCGACTGTAACTCCTCGTTTACTGCCGGACGCCATTTCGCCACTTCTACACTAGCCATCGCTTTTTGAAACGACTTCGGCGTATCTGGAACGCCATCGATACTGGCAGCATACGGCTTCAGCGATCAAGCCGTCTTCGTCGATCCTGGCACGCATTGGGGTTGGCGGGCCGTCACTTCCGCTCGACTCGTACTCTTCATCATCGTTCGGACCGTTCTCAAGTCGGAACACAGACTCCCTCGATCTTCTTGAGCGCTCCGTATCAGGGTG